CTCGTAGTTTTGCCGAACTCAGTGGTTTTTCAGCTGACGAAGGAGGAACATCGCCCTTGAATATATCATTTCCTGAGAGCTCGGAAAACTTCTTGTCATAAATCTTCTTGGCTGTCTTGGGCGCTGGTTCCTCGATGGATGTTATATTGCTCTGACCCCCACCAGGCTATTGCATAAAAACCAAATTCACAAGAAATCATATGCTTAACTACCACATAATGGGAACAGATAGTGATATGTATTAGGCGTAAAGTAACGCAGTTCACTTACATTAGAAACCTTCTTAACAGGCGTGCGACCGTTGGGTGAAGTAGGTTCTCCTATCTCAATGCTTCCCTTCAAGGCCAAAGCACGAGGAGCGGTAGTTGTCCTGGGTAAAATTTCAGGAGGGGGCGCAAATATGTCATGGCCACTAAGCTCCTTGAATTTAGATTCAGAGAGCTGCTTCTTCAGCCTTGCCTCTCTCTCTGCTTCCGTTTCCAAGGTTCCACTTAGCTCCCGCTGCTTTGCCACTTCGGGAATGGTAGTAGGCTTTTTGGGAGAAACACTCTCTTCATCACCACGAGATATGACTGATTCCAGCAACCGCTTGCTGCCATATTTCCAACCATCAGAAGAAAAACTAAGCAAATAACATCTGTGTTCTAATAACAAATCTAAAACTAGACCGCATATTGATCGGTACCTGGTACATTCGAATTCCTGGCTTTAGGGTAGGGTTCGCACCATCAGCTTCCGCGGCATCATTTTCTGCTTTCGGTGCAAAAATGCCACTCCCGGTGATCTCCTTCATCTTATGCGCTGAACAAGGTTTGCTGGAAATTTCATAGTTAACAATGTTAGAGGTCTCACATATTCCCACATCATATATATTTTCACTACATATTGTTATTCAAACTTTCACCGCAACTTATGAAACAAAACAAATTTAACGTTTTAGGAAAATAGCAAAACCCCTCAATTAAACAAGTTTATTCACTTTATAAATACATGAATTCAAAACTATCTCTGTGATTATAATCTAAAACATATAGATTTTTTGGGTGAAATTTGCAAAATATGGAAAATTGAATATTTATATGGATTCATGGGCCAAACAAAGTAGATCGATCACAGATCAATCAATCTTCAAGTTTAAAATTCATTTTTTCCATATTAAAAAAGGGAAATTTACTAGAAAATACCAAGTCAAATTCTAATAGAATATCCAAATAATGAAAAGAAAAAAAAAAATTTAAAAGCATTATTTTTTAACCATCAATTTGGTCCCAGAAATAATTCCTCAATTTTGGTTTTTTTTTTTTTCAAATTCATAAGCATTGAAGAAGAAATATCCGTTGCAGGTCCACTTCCAATGGCCACAGAAACGAGAACAAAGAAACAAAATTTTGAAAAATCAAAAACCCAGAAAGTGAAATGCAAAGGAGAAAGCGCAAAAGCAGAAGCAGGAAGAAGCAGATCTGACCGTTTGTTCAAGCTCTCGACCTCCTCGTCCGTCACCTGCCCTCCAAACACCACCTTTCTGATCCCATCCGACGGCTACGATCAATCCCCAAACAAACAACGAATCAACAAATCAAAGAACAAACCGAGAGAGAGAGAGAGAGAGATAAATGGAATTCGGAATGTCACCTGGTGGGGCCGCGAGGCGGAAGATGGAAGAGGAGAATCAGCCAGCGGAGTCTCGGACCAGGTGAGCAGATCCGCGGTGGACGTGTGGGGCTTCCTCACCGGAGTGCTTCTCTCCATTTCGGGTCGGACCTTCGGATTCTGGCAGCGTCCGATTCACCACTACCACTATCGCAGGAGCAGTCTACCGAAATGACGAAACTGACCTCGTTCCGGAACGTTCCTGTGTGTGTGCTCTGGGGGGTAAAGAGTGCTTTTGTGCGGGGGGGGTTTGTGGGTATTTTAAATGGCCTTTTTGGAAAGGGTGGAGTTGAAGGGAGAGTAGGAGTAGGAGCGTAGGAGATGACTTGGAGTGAGCTACTGACTCTTCCTTTTTTGTTCTTTTTCTTAAAACGAAAGGCCTAAATCCGGGCCGGCTATATTTATAGGCATAATAGTTTGAAATGGCGAGTATGTGACGCCGGAGGCCCAGCCACGTGCCGGTTAATTTAATATTATGGCGTCTGCGTTGTGACAGGAACATGAGTGGTATATCATGTGTTTTTTATATAAGTAGAGAGAAATTTTATTTTTCAAGTTATTAAATTTTTAACACATATATCTCACTATTTATATAATGATATATAATGTACAATTCCATACCGATCATACTAAAAAATCTCTCAGTGATCTGACTGATGATTTTGATTAAGGAGGGCGGATGGTTTTTTGAAATTTTGAAAATACGGTCCTTGATCGCGTGGGTTTAGGAGATAATGTTTTCAACGGTCGGATCCAGAGATGATGACGTCCCAAGAGTCTCTCAAGGATTTGAAAATTGAAATGCATTATCTAATTATTGAACACAAGTAAAGCAAAAGCCTAGAAGCTCAATTTCAGGAACTTCATGAATCCAACATCATATTTATTTATAAGTGAGAGGTTTTAAATTCGATTCTCGTTATATGTAAATTTGAATTATATTATTGCTAGCTCATTATGAGCCTTAGCTCACTCTCTCATCCCCTTAGTGTGGATAATATCATTTGTTCAAAAAAAAAATTTGGTAGATTTTTTCCACCCAACATGATTTAGATACATTAGAACAATCTACAATAAAGAACATTGCGGGCTTAGGCAAGTGGGTTTATGATTTGTTTGGAAGTGCTTTTAAAATGAAAGCGTTTTTTATGAAAATACTGTTGGAACAAATCTTTAATAAAAATGCAAGTTAATTTTGAAAAAACACTTGAAGTATTCCATGTAAGAGCATGTAACGAAGGAAACACTTCAAGTATTTTTGGACCCTAAAAATAATTTCACCAAAAGAGTTTTAAGTCATTTTAAAATGAATGCAAGAGCTTTTAATGAAAATGTTTTTTGAACCAAGTTTTAGTAAAAATGCAAGTTCATCTTGAAAAACACTTAAATACTTCATGTAAGAATACATAACGCATGAAGCACTTAAAGTGTTTTTGAAACCTAAAAATAATTTCACAAAAGAACTTTAAGACATTTTAAAAACACTTTCAAATAAGTTATTACTCTGTACACGTAGATGTGGTTTGAACAATATTGATTTAAGATCCATAAAAATTGTTTTTACAGTTTTCTTGGTTAATAATTTAGACTCGTTTTTAGCCTAAGTCAGTTGCACCATCTCTACACGAGTTTGTTTAAGCTTGAATTCTCTTTATGTCAAACTCTAGTTTTAAACATGCACACCATTTTTTTAATTTATTATTCTTCCATTTATGTGCCACTTGATATCATATTAGCGAACTTAGAAGGATAATGTCATATAAATTGAGAAGTACAACAATTTTTTTTTAAAGTAAAAATTAGTATTATTCACGGATCATGTGTGCAACTAGAATGCTATACTTCTTTATTCTTCTTAAAAATGAGAGAATATGTAATACAATCACAAATATATTTTCTTATGTCTATCGCACTCATTACTAGGGGTGCAACTAGGCGGGGTTTGACGGGTTAAATAGTCAACCCGACGGTCCCAAACCTAACCTTATTAATTCAGGTTTGGGTTGGACTCAAGTTCATGCAGGTTTATTCGAGTTTGGGTTTAAATTAAGTTCAGCCTTATTTAGGTTGGGTTCAGGTTTGCTCAACTTTATCAATCTCAATCTTGTAACACCTTATTTTGTAAGATAAATCTCAAATTTTGAACCAAATAACGTCAAAATATTAAAAATTCAATTTTACACAAACAATACCAACATTTTAACCAAAAGAAACATAAAATCAACATAATCATTCATTGTTCAAATGAAAAGCAAACAACAAACTTAAAGTATAGCCCTCCCAAACTTGTGTCTAGCTTATCTAACATGAAGTGGGACATGTAAAATGTACATGAGCAATTCGGGCTAGAAATTGGGTTGAGTTTAGGTTGACATGAACGGGTAAAGGATCAACCTAACCCAATCCAATAAATAATTAGGTTAAGGTAATTAGGTTGGGCATAAGTGGAGTCCTGTTGACCGAACTCAAATTACATTCCTACTCATAATTGACGTGACCACATAATTAGCGTTGCATATACAAAGTAAAATATATGTCGACCAATAATATTTTCTTTTCCATGAAATCGTGGTGAGCTCTATATGCATGTTCGACCTAGTTTGGGAGTGAGGTGCTTAAAAAAAAGCACTCATGAAAAAAAGCTGTAAGGGTTTTAGGTGTTTGGTAAACTGAAAAAAAAGGGCTTATTTTGGAAGCTGCTGTGAGAATAAGCTGAAATCAAAGGAAAAAGCTGAAGCTACTATTTGCAGCTTTGGAAAACTGGCTTTTTTTCAAAGCACACGGAGCTACAGTGCTCCTTTAATGAAAAGACCCACTATCAGACTGCTTTTTTTTTTCCAAAAGCACTTTTACAAAAAAGTTTACCAAACACTCTGCTGCTTTATTTCACAGCCGCTTATTCTCACAGCACAGCCGCTTATTCTTACAGCAGCTTTTTTTCAAAGCACAACAATACCAAACCAGCCATTCGTAGGATATGTAAACAAAGTCAACAAGCTTGTTGAACAATATTGGTTGAATTGTGACTTTTAGAGTTAGAATAATTTGATAGACAAGTGATTTTATATTATATTTATATTTGCTTTAAGGACGTGCTCTTTTTGCCACTAGCTCTCCAAGACCCAAGAAAAAATGCATGATTTTGAGGTCTCCTCTCCCCATGTGAGTTGTGAATGCGTGACCCAGAACACACAAGTGCAAAATCTTATTCTCATTCGTGGGGCAACGTCACGTGTATATTGCCAGCCACTGTTTCACGTGTACGCTAAGCTTCTCGCATCTCTCTCTCTTTCACCCAGTTTCTCTTTCGCACGAGATTTCCTCTATTTTTTTTTTTTTTAAATAGATAATACTAGCTAGTAATGCCCGCGCGTTGCTGCGGGATTACAAATTGATCTTATAGCAGTGTATAAATTTGAGTTAGTATCAGTGTAACATTAATTAATCTAAACAAAATTACCATAGTGAAGGAAAGAATTTTATTTGCTATAGAAAAATTATAGTTTTGATACCTTACAAAGGTAATTTGTTTTAAAAGATTGAAAGCCAGCGGTTTTCAATCTTGAAATTCCACAGCATCCTTTGAAAAATAGCGACCATGATCGGATAGAACTATTGTACCACCTACAGGAAAGAGAAAACAATGAGTTAATGAGATATTCTTATACACAAAAAGAAAACACTTGACGCTGAATGAACAAAATATTCAAACATGGAAAATACATCATGAGGGATAATCTATCATTTTTGGCCAAGTGAGGAATGATATCTTGAGTATCGAAAGAGAAGATTTTAGAGACAAAGTGAGGACAGAAGAGGGGGGGGGGGAGCACCTTGGGCAAGGAGGCGGTTGATAGCTTTGTTGGAGGAGTCAGTCCAATTTTTCACAATCTCCTTCAAGCTTGCACCAACAATTAAAAACAGACAAACACAACATGATTGCAGAACGGAATTAGAAACGATCTAATTTTGGGAAAACCTGTGGCTCGAACGCACGTCCAATGACAATTGCTGCTTGAGTTTAGTAACATTAGTTAAATACAATACAATGTTTGCTTGCATAATCATGTTTAGTGATGCATTGGAATGCTCTCGAGGAAACAACTAAAGAAAATACGTAACTTAGTATTCGATAATGCACATTATAACTCATTTTTATGCATAAATCAAGGTCCCATTTGATAACCATTTTGTTTTTGTCAACTTAAGTTTACTTCTCAAAACGTAACAGAATGCAAGGTTCTCAACTCAAACACACTTAACATCTGCAGGTGTAAGAGTAGCACTATAATGTAACAAAAGACTTCACACTACTCAAAAGATTGCTGTTGAAGAATCCATGTTCTAATTAGCACTAATCACGACACGAATACACTAAAGTCGAAACTTAAGTAAAAAACGATGGAAAACAAATGCATAATGACAGGGAGACACGTACCTAAAATGCAATCAATACCTTTAACTCTTTGTTCATAAGCAGCTTGGTAAAACATCATTAAAGCTGCAGCCTCTCCGTTTAAAGCGTCAAAAGGATTGGGATACAACAGAAGTTGTGGCAACAACACTTCAAATACGTTTGCCAGATCTGGAAACACAGGCAGATGTAAGAGAATAAAACTTGGATTTCGCTACTTTCCCCATGCTTATAAGAGAATTTATTGTCCATTAGGTCTTACTGGGTACAAATAACGATAAACCGACTACAATACTACCTGCACAAATACAGTTCTGTTCCAACACGGATTCCTCAGACGATGCGGCTGCTGCAGATCAAGTTCAATCTTGATTGTTTTGTATTTAGTTCACATGCTGCTATTTATTTGTAATCCTACTTCTACACGTATATCAATTGTAATTAGAGCAATGACCAAACAACAAATTCCATTAAAATAAATATAACTAACCAAAAATATCAAATCATAAATCTCAGAAAGCCCAATGCACAAAATTGCAGAAATAGGGAAGGAATCATAATCAAAACAAACGATACAAACACACACAGAGAAAATATATACTTTTATGTACTTAGCTACTGTACAAACCGCTCATTCAATTGCCTTATTCCCTTTTCCCCTACTAAATAAAAAAGAGGTCAGTGAATCAATATAAATATTCATTGAAATAAAAAAAATCCAAGATTTTCCTCAAGCGATATCCCAGAATTTAAATTCACGCTATATCCATTCCCTAATTCTCTTAATTGTAGGCAACCCAGAAACAAAAAATAAATAAAAAACTGATTCTCAGTATCCAAACAGCTCAAAACCCAGAACCCAAAAAAAAAAAAAAAAAAAAAAAAACCTTTGCGGGTTTGGAGCTCTTTTCTTATAATTGTTACAGTATTGGTGTTGCGCCTCAATTCGTGGTGTTTCCGTCAGTATCAAGTATCAATGAAGGTGGGGCTGCTGGTTTGGAGTGAAGAGGAGGAGGAGGGAGGAGGATCCAAGCCTACAAACAGAATCACAAAAGCAAACAAAACAAAAACCCATCTGCAAATCTAAAACCCAAAGAAAAATTAAAACACCCAACTGAGAAACCATCAAACTGCAAAGGAAAAGCCAAACGTTTCTGGATAAAAAATTAAAACACCCCGACAAAAGAAAATGGAAGGTTGGATCAAGAAAATTGGAACGAGACCGAAGTTTCTGGGAAAAAAATTGCTGAGAACGGCGAAGAGAGAGACTAAAGCAGTCCATCGTGATCGATAATTCCTGAGAGAAAGATGGAAAAAGGTTGGAGGGCAAAAAATTCGCTGTTTTGGAGACAACTGAGAAAGCACGGAGGAACGAAGAGAACGCGAAAGCAGAGATCTGGATGAGAAAATGAATAATCGAGCACGTGGAAAAGATGAGAAAGAAACGGAGGAAAAGGGTCGATGAATCGAGTGAGGAAAAAAGGAAACGGAAGCAAAATGAAGGGAGAAGAAAAAAAGTGGAGGAAAAATGCACAGCGTTGCACAGCGATGGTCGAAGTGCAGTCAAATGGGGAGGTCAAAAGGAGGCACTCCAGGGGAAAATGGTCACACAAAGAAATCACAAAGGAGTTCCACAGACAGTGCCCCGGGGGACTGAGTTTTAGTATATAAAGATATGTGTAATATATAAAATAAATAAAACACAATATTTACGAGGTTCTACAAATGTGTTTATGTAGACTATGTTCTCAAGACAACATCAACAATTCCTTTTATTATCTGAAATAATAGACATACAAAAAAGAACTCTCACTTTAGCGTATATAATCTCACTAAAGGTATTTCCTATTTATCTTTGTGATTGGAGAGAACCTAACAACGAAAGGAAAATAACAAGAAAAATATTAAGGTAGGGGAAATTGACCATCAACAATAGTTACGACAGGAAATTAGCCAGAATAAAAGTTTATGGGAGAAGTTGTCAGTGATGTATAAAATTCTAAGTGAAATCGACAAGGTTTAGGGTTTATCTTACATTGCCGGTCCCAAGCCCGGATAAAGGAGGAGGGGGAGGGCGTCAGGTAGTCGACAGCCGGCACTCATAGGTTACGTCAAATCCTTATGAAAATAAATTCAGAACGAATTCACGCTAAAGCTAGGGCGTCACCCGTAAGTGGCATGCTGTGTGGCCCGAGCACAGTGATAAGTGAGCAAAGGTCGATGTATCTTCATTGGCACCCGGATGCAGTGTTAAATGAGCAAGGGGGTCATAGAAACTTCTTTTTGAACGACTCCACTCAAAGTTATTTGGGAGTATATGCTCCTATCAACTTTAAACAGGACACACACAAAAGAAGTACTTTGATCCTATTAGACCGGGGAGGGTGAAGAAGTTAGGACAGAATGTTAGAGTTCAAAAGAGTAGAATGCGTTTAGGAACGTGGAATATAGGAACCTTAACGGGAAAATCTATGGAAGTAGTGGAAGTTATGGTGAGGAGAATGATAAATATTATGTGTCTACAAGAAACTAAATGGCTTGGTCTTAAGGCAAAGGATCCAGAAAACTCAGGTTTTAAACTTTGGTGTTCGGGCATAAATTGAATGAGAAACGGTGTTGGTATCATCGTGGACAAGACCTTGACACAAGATGTTGTAGATGTCAAGAGGGTAGGAGATAGAATCATGGCAATCAAGATTGTAATAGGACAAGAACTCATCAATGTGATTAGTGCATACGCACCTCAAGTAGGGTTGGATACGAGTTTGAAGGAGAAATTTTGGGAAGACCTTGGAGACTTGGTGAAAGGAATTGCTCAGACGGAGAAAGTATTTATAGGAGGAGATTCAATTGGACACGTGGGCAAGGAGACAGGCAACTATGAAGGTTTTCATGGTGGCCATGGTTTTGGGGAGAGAAACGAGGATGGGGAAGCTATTTTAGATTTTGCAATGGCATATGATCTCTTCTTAGCCAACACCTTCTTTAAGAAGAGAGAAGAACATGTGATCACCTACAAGAGTGGGTCGTCAAAAACACAAATAGATTTTCTTCTAATGAGGAAAGGGGACCGTATAACTTGTAAGGATTGCAAAGTTATACCAAGAGAGAGCTTGGCTAATCAACATCGCTTGTTAGTGATGGATGTACATATCAAAAGAGAGAAAAAAAAAGAACAAGACTTGGAAGTGCCCAAGGACTAGATGGTGGAATCTAAAAGGAGAAAAACAAGTCATTTTCAAAGAGAAAGTAATCACCCAATGTGTGTGGGATAGAGAGAGGGAAGCTAGCCAAATGTGGGATTCCATGGCTAGTTGTATCCGAAAAGTAGCAAAATAGGTATTAGGAGAGTCCAAGGGCTTTGCTCCACACCAAAAGGAATCTTGGTGGTGGAATGAGGAGGTACAAACAAAGGTGAAGGCTAAGAAGGAATGTTGTAAAGGCTTATACAAGGATATGACCGATGAAAATGGTGAAAGGTATAGAAAAGCGAAGCAAGAGGTGAAGAAAGTTGTGAGAGAAGCTAAGCTAGCGGCTTATGACGATATGTATAAGCGACTAGATACCAAAGAAGGAGAGTTGGATATCTATAAACTAGCTAAAGCAAAGGAAAATAAGACAAGGGACCTAAACCAAGTGAGGTGCATCAAGGATGAGAATGGAAAGGTTCTTGCTACAGAGAACGCGATCAAAGACAGATGGAGAGGTTATTTTCATAATCTTTTCAATGAAGGACTTGAAAGGAGTACTTCTTTGGGGGAGTTAAGTAACTCAGAATAGTGTAGAAACTACCATTTTTATCGCCGAATCAGGAAGAAAGAAGTGGTTGTATCTTCGAAAAAGATGAAGCATAGAAAAGCAGTGGGCCCATGATATATTGATCGAAGTGTGGAAGGTCTTGGGAGAGACGGGTATAGCATGGCTCACTGACCTTTTCAATAGGATTTTGAAAACAAAGAAAATGCCAAATGAGTGGCGAAATAGCACTTTGGTGCCTATCTACAAGAACAACGGTGATGTACAAAATTGCATGAACTATAGGGGTATTAAGCTAATGAGTCATACAATGAAGCTCTGGGAGAGAATCATTGAGCATAGATTGAGGCAAGAGACACGGGTTTCAGATAACCAATTCGGGTTTATGCCAGGACGCTCAACCATGGAGGCAATCTATCTCTTACAAAGATTTATGGAAAGATATAGAAATGGGAAAAAGGATTTACATATGGTCTTTATAGATTTGAAAAAAGTGTATGATAGGGTCCTAAGAGACATTCTTTAGAGGATTTTAGAGAAGAAATGAGTACGAGTAGCATATATCCATGCTATAAAAGATATGTATGATGGAGCAAAGACTACCGTAAGAACTCATGAAGGATAAACCGAAAGCTTCCTCATAACTGTAGGGTTACATCAAGGCTCATCCTGAAGTCCTTACCTTTTTGCATTGGTAATGGATGAGTTAACATGACATATTCAAGATGATATTCCTTGGTGTATACTTTTCGCAAACGATATAGTGTTGATAGATGAAACTCAGGAAGGGGTAAATGCGAAGCTTAACCTTTGGAGAGAAGCGTTGGAATCTAAAGGTCTTCGCCTAAGCCAATCAAAGACAGAATATAAAATGAGTTAGGGGTAAGGATCGAAGATCTGGAAATACCAAAGAGCGACCGTTTTTGCTACCTCGGATCTATCTTGCAAAAGAACAGAGAATTAGATGGAGACCTCAACCATAGAATACAAGCTGAATGGATGAAGTGGAAGAGTGCATCCAGCGTGTTGTGTGACCGCCGTATGCCACTAAAGCTTAAGGAAAAATTTTATAGGACGACAATAAGGTCGGCGATGTTGTATGGCACAGAATGTCGAGCGATGAAGCATCAACACGTACATAAAATGGGTGTAGCGGAGATGAGGATACTTCGTTGGATGTGTAGGCACACGAGAAAGGATAATATTAGGAATGAGGATATCTGAGATAAAGTAGGAGTAGCCGAAATTGAAGGAAAGATGAGAGAAAACCGGTTACGGTGGTTTGGACATGTGCAAAGAATGCCTACTGACGCTCCGATTCAAAGATGTGACTACGGGATAGAGGAACAGGGTCGAAGGGATAGAAGAAGACCTAGGAAAACTTTGGAAGAGACCCTAAGAAAAAAACTTAGAGTACTTGGATCTAACGGAGGACACGACACATAACTGAGCGTAATGGTATTCTAGGATTCATATAGCCGACCCCACTTAGTGGGAAAAGACTTTGTTGTTGTTGTTGTTGTTGTTGTTCCTTTTAATTAGTTATGCAAGATAGTGATGTAGAAAATATGGCATAGATAATCAAATGTCATATCTGAAGATGCAAAACTGGCAACAAGACTGGTGAAGTGCAGGTCTGGTCGTCGATGTCAAAATAAGGCTTAAAAATATTTCGTTCCAAGAGCACGAAGCAAGGACATGTCACACCAACTTTGCTTGTGACATAAGGGCAATTTTGGGCAAAAACCTTCATTCACTATCCCAAAACTGTGTTTTAAGTTTTAGCGATACTTTTGAAACTTTGATAATTGTTTGTTTTCTTTCCTATTTGAACCTTAAGTCCTTTTAAGGTTTGGGTATGTGGTTTGAACGTGTAAATACACCTTCTTTAGGTAGGGTTTGTAATTATTCATATCATCAATCAAACTTGAGTTTTACTGTCTCTTTCATCCAAGAGAATTATAGAGTTTGCTAGTTTTTTCTAGCCAAAGAATAACGTTGGAGCTTCCTTGCGTATATCTTGCATCAGATAGTAGGGGTTTTTTTGTAATATAACGTTCGAATTTCTATTCATAGGGCTAGATTATTAGACATTATAATAAGGCTTGATGGTAAAATTATCCGTTGGCATCAATTTTTCCCTAGGCACCCGTTAGGAGGATTTAGTCATTTTAAATTGTGATGTTACTAAAATCTCCTTATTTTGTGGTCCTTA